TTATGGACCTTACAGTATTTTGTGTGTAAGGTCCTTATACACAAAACCTTACACTATTTTGAATATTACACTATTTTGAGGTATTTGTGGAATGTCATGTAAGTTTTCTTGAATTTGTTTTACTGATCTGGCATGTGTAGTCTCTATGTATAGGTAGCATTAATCTGTATTTATCCGCATCATTATTATGTCTGTATGAATTGTAGCATTCAGCATTTACTAGGGGAATAATGAACGTGTGTTACTCAGCTATTGACATGAGAGAAGTAATCTCTGAAAACTCCCATCTGCCATGGGAGTGCTTACCTGCTAGTCAATTAGACCCTTGTGGATGTAGTCCTAGGTACTTAAGCCTGGCCATTCAGACAATGAGCTCACATTTTAAAAGAAGACACTTGTATGAATAACACCCGAGAACAGGTTTTCAAAGATGGATATTTATCACAGTGGAGAAATAAAATGAAAGACAGTATCTTTAGGATATAGGATTAGTAATTTTTGTCTGAAAAGATGTACATATTTTCCTGGTCATAATTAGCTCAGGAAAAACTTCTGGTTTAGTAAACAAATACATCTTTGGGGGGCAGGAAATTATATGCATATTATGGGCTCCCCAAAAAGGGATGATGTTTCTAAATGAACAGATAAGAAATCAAACTTAAGTTTTGCCTTGAAACAGTGGTTGTTTTTAGCTTGCTCCTGGGCATAGGGAATGACTTTAAGCCCTCAGACAATGGGCTAAGTGAAACAGGCTCATAACTGAACTTGCAGGAAGCCCTGTCACGAAGGTCAGAGGCAGGAGCTACTTTCTAATCTGTTGAGCTGAATAGAAGATGTTTTCTTAGGTTTTGGATGCAGGGTAAAATCAGATTATCGTCCTGATATTTCTTTTGCTTGTATATTTTTATATCTCTGCTTCTTTCTCAATGTAGGGTTACTGATTTCTTGTTCTTGTTTTTATAATAAATCTATTTATTATCTTTTACAGCATACTCACTGTTGGTGACAACTGTGATTTCAGAACATTTGACCACACAGACAGGCCTCTTCCAAGGAAGGGGAGAACCTCTCATTTCTGAGCACATGACTGGATAAGGATGTGATTCTTTTAGCTGGCAAAATCCCCTCTGCTAAAAGCTGGCAAGACCTGGATGAGGTGGGTAAAGCTGAGGTGACACCGGTCAGGCAGGTGACCTGTGGAGCATCTCAGAATGTTCAATAGTCAAGCAGCAGATGGCAGACAGGGGTTTGGAGTCTAAGGGCACCGTGAAGGTGTGAGAATCCCACGAGAGTGAGAGCATCTACATGTGTGCATTTACTGCACAGTAACCAAAATTACCGTGCAGTATGGGAGCACATCTACATGTTCACACCTGTACAGTGCAGTAAATATGGCAACTTACCCTGCCTTGAGTGTAAATCTGATACCTACATCATGCAGATATCAAATTTATGCCTGCTGCTCAGTAACGCACATGTAGATGCCTTACTGCGCAGTAACACAGTGTGTGTGGACTGACTTGGGACTAAAGTTAGTTCCAAGTCAGTCCACACAGCATTAATGTGCTGCACAGGCAGACGCTGGCCTATTCCCTCTTACTGCACAGTAAATTTAAGCCAGCATAAATGCATGCATCTCTCAAAGCCACACCTGACTGCACCTAGGGTCAGAGTGTTTTATAGACCCAATTTACTGGCATGATCCTGATAATTTGAGCCACCCCAGCAGCACAATGCAGCATATCTTGCTTAACAATCAGTATGAGTGTTTCTCCCAATGTAAGATCACCTTCCAATGTACCAGATATGTTGTAACAGCCCTGTTAGTACCTGTGAGGCCAGCTGACAGCACTGGTTTTGTAGAAAAGGGGGTTTGGCTGAGTTTAGCTAGTCCCTGGATTCTGCCTGACCCCACAGAGGAGTATAGGTTGCTATAACTTGTGTCAAGGATTAATCCAAATTCTGGCTTATCAAAGCAGCATAAAAATACTCCAAACGAACTTCGTCTTCAGCTTCCCCACCCCAGTTGGAACGTACAGACAGAGGTGTAGCTCCCGGGTCTAACTCATACTGCTTCATGGAAAACACTTTGAGTTAGACTGATCGTCCCAACCTAACAGATGTTAGCTGTTGGGTCAGGAGGGTGGGAGATTGAGTTTCAATTTGGAGGCCACCATGGGAGAAAGGCTGCATCTCTTCAACTTCTTTCCCTAGCTCTACTGCCTCTCTCCCAGCTCCCATGTAGACTGTCCACCCACCCCATCCTCAAGTGTTGTCTGGGCAACCCCCAGAATAAGTTCCCTCTGCTCCCTCCCCACCCTCCAATTCTGCAAATAGCACCAGGAGCAGTGTTGGGATGTGTTAGCTGAGCCCTGCTCCTGGCAAGTGCAGACAGAAGTTACTGAGGGCACTCTGCTTTGGAGCACCTGCATCTAAATGCTCATGTAATGAGGGTTCAAGCTTTTTGTGGGATTGGTCCCTTTAAAAGTGCTCTGCACCTGTGCACTTGTGTTTGGTCATGGCTGTAGAGCATTTTCAGAAGCCAGATAGGGTGAAAATTGTCACTTCTCTCTGCACCTTGAGTGTCTCAGTGTAGACTGACATAATATGCCCCAATATTTTTCATAAGCCAGTTCATGCAGCTAAAGACAAATACTAAAAATCAACCACTGCTTATATTCTTTAAATATCATTCTTCCATTACTTATCAGAACCTGTATAGTAAAGAGCTCATTAAAAAAATCTTCTTCTCCACAAATCCACAGAGCACTGACCTAAGGCTTATTTTTCTTTCAACTAATTTCTAAACATAATTTATTGCACAGTATATCACTATAATGAAGCTCTCCAGTTTGAAACTGTTTTCCCTGAAAATTCCTATTAGTTCCATTTTCTTAATGGAATATTAAAATGCAAGAGGGTGTGAGGATGGGACATGAATATAACCAGTTTAAATTCACTTTCAGTATACCATTTTCTATATTTATATCTCCCAGAAAAGAATAATTATTACATGATATTTGATGACAGCTCTGGGAAATGCAGCCACTATCTGCAGACTAAATTACTAACTAGTTCCTTCTGGTTGCACCTCTGTAAGGTGAAAGGTTACTTCTGTGTCTATCCAATTTCATCTCCTGAGAGTACAAAAACAGTAAAATTAGCTTGACCTGTTTTACAACTTTAGCTACAAAAACTGGTTTATAATCTGTTTCTTAATCTGAAACTTTTTGGTTGATTTCAGATGCAATGATATATATTTTTTTAAATCTCCCAGGTAACCATTTTTGTTGACAACACAAAGAGATTACATTGATAAAACAAAATGTTTCTGTCATGTCAATTTATGCATGTTATGTTTGAAATGTGCACATTCATGTACTATATGTATTGAAACAGTTTCAAATGGAAATCACGCAAGATATTCAAGGTTCAAGGATTACAAATATTACTGAAAGTCCAGTGGTTGCCATTAAAAGTCAGCAATAATTATTATTAGGTTTTCCCTATTTTTAGAATAGGAAATGTTTAATAACTGTAATTTAGCTGCAAACAAGTGATGGGAAATAGCAAGATACAAACATTTTGTTATATACTTTACATCATTTTCTATCTGATGGACAGCTTTCATAGTGCATCTGATGGCCCAAAAATCAACTTTGAGCCAAAAATTAAACTGCCATACACTACTGACCTCTTTCCAATTCTGCAGTATCATTCTAATTTCATATAGCAAATTGATTCTTTGGCTATATTATTTACACTCATTCCATTGTAAACAGGCTTAAAATTGCCAATTTAAGAAGTAGCAGCTGGGAAAGTCTAGGTGTTTACAAATTAGAATAGGCACACTTTTCAAAACTGATTGGCCAAAATGATGGAGAAAATCCAAATGGATACAACACAATGTACATTAAATAATTTGCATGGCTTGTGTAACCTTTTACCTTGATCAGCTTTAAGACACTGTGAGTGCATCTACACATGAAATTAATTCAATGCAATAAACTCCAGTAAAGTTTGCACTAGAGTTTATTGCTCCTGGGTGCAGTGATGCATGTGTGTCCAGAACCATCGCACATTGAGCTGGGTTGGAGCAGCTCTGACTGGTAGGGGGCCCCAGGGGCCAGCTTGCAGCTGCTCTGACTTAGCTCAATGTGCTGCAGAGGGGCGGGCTGGGGCATGAGGGTGCTACAGTGCAGGGCTAACCAGCAAGCAGCCCTGTATGGGAGCACCCTTATGCCCCAGCCAGCCCCAGCCAGTGTCTACATGTGTTGTAGCAGAGTAAATAACTCTGCTGTACAACAGTACTTGTGTTGGGCAGTACTAGTACTATCTTATGGTGGAGTTTATTAGTTTACTCTGGCCTAACTGGACCACTTGCTGTTGTGTGTGCCTAATAGCACATGTAGATGCTGATGTTTACAGCAGAGCTAATTAGTCAGCTCTGCTGTGAACATCTCATGTAGATGTGCCCAATAAGTGCCAAGTCTGCTACCTTTAGACAATCACCTGGTTGGTTATTTTTGCCATATGCTTTTTTGCTCCAAACTCATGTCACCTGGTAGCACAAGCTACAGAAACCAGCTGAGCCATCAGCAGACTGACAAGAAAATGCAGCTGCAATGGCAGAACTATTTGGCTCCCTATGGTTATGTTTACATGACACTAAAGCACTAAAAGTGAAATATGATGCTAATGTGTATCATTGGGCTACATCACACTGTGCTTCATTGCATGAATATCAATGTGATTAATGAAACAGGAAAAGTAAACAGAAACATTGGCTGTATTAATCATTCACAGTTGATAACACAATTCTGGAGCTTGATACCACCTGGGCCTGAATATAGAAACAGAAGTGGGTTTTATTTTCAATAGCTTCCCACTGAAGTCACTGACAAAGCAGCCTTTCTGATAGTACCCATTGCAAAACATGTGGCTCCATGCTTGAAAACAGGAAAGCAAATTAAATAAGAAAAGAAACGTATCACTCTCACCTCCTCCACATGACTCTGAGCATTCTGTAAAGCCTGCATACTCCCAGTCATACAGCTCATCAAAGTCTTGCAAGCTGCCATAGACAATGTCCGTTTCCTCAGGGTTATATTCAGCAGCCTCCCCACTGCAGGGACCACTGTAACAGACTTGTTGTGATGCAGGTTTGGGACCTTCACATTCATCAATGGGCAGGTCAGCAACAGACTGAGAGAAAGACAGAAGGACCTGACACTTCACTAGCCGTACCTGGCTGCCCACTCCACATGTGACACTACAGGCAGACCAGGCCTCAGGAATAAACCTATGGTAAGAGAGAGAGCAAAGTAAACAGATTGGTTGGCAAATAAAAATTTGGCAAATAAAATTTATAGCATCCCTTCTCAATGGCTGCAGGCAAACATTTTGCTTTGTCTTGGAAACAAGTGCTTTATCTCATTGCATCATTTTTGTAAATCTCTCATAAAAGCCATCACGTCTTGGTGGCACTTCCATGGTTCTTGGGGCAGAAATCAGTATAATCCTGAAGTCTCCCTCATCATCTCTTTCTTCCTGTGATTTATGCATAGAACAGAATCATGGAAGGGAAAAATGCATTCTCCAGTTCATACTTCCATCAGAGTAGAATTATTCCCTATAGCACATTGACTAGAATTGGTTCAGTCTTATATGAATCATCTCAAGCAAAAGAGCTTCCATTGATTGTCCTCAACAATCTAAATGACCTCACTGGCATGAAGATTATTTTACTTGTGAAACTTAGGTTCCATCTCATGATTCCTACTTCTTCTCCCTTGTACCAATTTCAATAATCCTTCCCTATCCTTCACATTTGTCATTCAAATGTATGCAGACAATATCCCTCCTTAGCTCTTAAATAGCTAACCTATATGTATTTGGCTCTTCTAATAAATTAGCCCCTCTTCGGCACTCTCAGAGCACATCCAAAGCAGATTCATTTACTGTGGAGGTTCAATCAATTGCTGGAATTGAACAGATATATACAGAGCAAATTTTGAAGACAGTTGTACAACACAGATGCAACTGAGGGCAATTTTTGGCTTGCAGCATTTCTACCCTTAGGGATGACAATAACACACAGCAATAAAGAATCCATCTTGACTATCAGATTCCAGGCTGACTTATTTGCAAGGTCTAACAGTAGGGGGTAGGGGTGGGACATGTTTTCAACTGTACGTTAAGCAAAGCAAATGTAAAACCACAGAGGTAGAACAATATAGAGCCCCATTACACCATTTGTAATAAAACAGATTTTAGCACATAGTTTTCTTGGGTCCCTTAAATATGTGGATGTGTGCTATCTGAAAATCCAGGTGTTGTAGAGAGTTTATAACAGGTCTTCTGCATGGCTAAATTTCACCATTAGAGGGATATCACTGCCTAGGCATTTTTCAGCATTAAATATTCCATCATGCATGTATACTTGTCTGTCACATTCATATTTTCAGGGCCTGGGGAATATACTTCCCCAGCAGCCTTACCTGGGATTCTTGGGGCCTCCTGGGTTTGCAGCAGCAATGATCCGGGCATGTGGAGCCTGGCCAGCAACTGGAGCATGGCTCTGGGCAGCCAGGATCTGGTTTTGGGCAGTAGTGAATGCCTATGCCATGTGTGCTGCCTCACTTTTTTGACCCACACCTTTTTTTGATACCGGGATTTCCTGGTATCAAAATTTGACCCTGTACTGCAAATACGTAGCACGGAGAACCAAATTACATGCATGGAGTACATTTTGTGGTCCTAAAAAGCAGCAAAGCACATGTGAGGCCATTACTAGACTGAGATTCACTCTTAGGAAATACACAGTTCTCAGGAATATTATTGTATAGGAGTAGTACAACGGAGAAAAAAGTAGACTGTAGATGTTGTTTTAAGTAGTCTGTAGTGTTGGTGCAAAGACCACAAGATTTCCCCATAGATGTATAGACTTTAAAAAACTAAAGAAACATAAATGACTCAATTTCTCCATTCTTAGATACTTTATCTGACCAACGCCAATTAAAAAAATCAGCCATTTCAAAGATGGTCTGTTTCATTTGGGAAGGATTGTGCACTGCAGTATATAAGCTGGCCAGTGGGCTCATTTTAACTAAAACTTCTCTAGTAGTGTGATAAATTTCTCTTATTTTGACTCTATTCATCAAAGAAAGAACTGAGAATGTAGCTTTTGTAATGTGTACCACTGTCACTGTGGTTTAGATAAACTGGTGTGTTTAGAAAGTCAGTTTCCTAATCAGAAAAAAAATTCAGCTAATTGAAACAAGTGATGCTGCTGTAATTATAATGGGACATGAATGACACATGCCCCCGGTGGCTGGGGGGACATGGCGGCAACAGGAGCATGGCAGTGGTGGCGGCAGGAGCGTGGTGGTGGTAAGCAGGGGAGCTCCTGCAGATACTGCCGGCACTGTTGACGATGGCGGGGTGGGGGTGATGAGCCCTGACCAAGGGATGGCAACTACCTACAGCTGTTGCTGGCAGCATCAGCATTGACCAGCGGGGATCAAGGACTGTCCGCAGATGCCACCAGCGGTGTCAGTGGCAAGGTGGTGAGCAGTGACCACCTGCAGGTGCCACCGACAGTGTCGGTGGCATCTTTTTGTAGGGGGTGCACCGCCATGCTCATGGGGTGCACATGTAGACATGTGCACCCCCTGTGCATCACCCCTATAATGGGATATTGTATTTATAATTTTCACCTCCACTACAGTTCTGTGAACTGTTGAGCAGACACCCATGTCTAGTCCAGAATGGATTCCTTTTAATGACTGTGACTTCAAGAGTGTATAAAAGACATAAGAATTTTACTGATGTTCTATGATTATGATGTAAGCTATTATGATGTAACAGTTAAATATGCATCAATATAGGTGTAGCAAAACATTTGAAACTTTAACCCTGTGGCATTAATGTTTAAAGTTACAGAGATTTAGCTAACTTGTATCATTATAGGAGCAAGCAGACACAAAACCTGCATGGTAAAAGCTGATGTGTGTTCCTTAATGGTTATTCCCCCTTCTGTTTTAAAGTGGTTAAAAGTTGTGTTTGTCCACAGACTAATAGGAAGCAGAACAAGCAAGCCAGCAAGCAGGCAAGCAAGCAACTTAGATTTCTTTGGAAACAATACTTGCTATATAAGGCTAGGTATAGACATTCAAAAAGCCCGGGGCAGAATCAATCTAAATTACGTGGTTTTCTGTAAGTGGCATACTTTAGATCAGTAGCAAACAAAACACATTTGCCTTCTGGGCACACACAGAAGTGGCAATTTTCTCCCGATCTGGCCCCAGAAAGCAGTCTACAGACATGACCAAACAGAAGTACATGGCTGCAAACTGCTTGAAAAGGGCCCAATCCCACAAAAATCTGAGCACATTCCGCAACTTGTGTCTAAAGAACTCCCAGCCTGTTACTGTTTTCAGAACAGGAGAAGGGAAAGAGAAAGAAGGGAGTCTGGTCTGGGTTTTTTTCAGTCAGTCCTAGAGGGTGGGATGGGTAGATGCAAGGTGGGGGTGGGGGAGCTCTAATCCACCCATCCCATCCTCCAGCACGAGCTGGGGAACCCCAAGAATGATTTCCCTCTGCTCCTTTCCCCCACTTCCATTCTGAAAACAGTGTCCGGGCTGGGGAGCTGGGGGAGTGGCATTGCTAGGAGGACCAGGTTGCAGGCTCACAGCAAGCAGCTGGAATCTCCAACTCCCAGACCCAACAGTAAACTGGGTCCAGGGGATCATTGCAACTCACAGTGCTTCATGCAAAGTGCTGTGAGTTACAATACGGAGTTTCTGTTCTGTCTGCACTCCTTGGTAGTTGTGGGAGGATGGCAAATCTTAGACCAGCCTTGATAAAACCAGTCTGTGTGTTCAAAACTTCTGTTCTTTTATGGGTATAGAGTGGTTTCTGATCACGTATACTGGTAAAAGTGTAATGTCTGTACCTGGCCTAAATTACATTTACAACTATTGTATTATTTCACCATGTTCAACAATTCATAATGTAAATACTGGAACTGCCTTCAAGAAATGATGCATTTACTCAGCTTCCTCCACCCATTTTTTAACAATCTGAATTAAAACTTTAGAAGCACAGTTTTGCACTACTATAATCACCTTCTTCAAACACAGATTGGGCACTGGTAGAGTTGAAAACAAAACAAAACAAAAACCACGTAGGTTTGCCATTATATGCTCCGTACTTGGAGCAGCTTAACAGGACTATCAAGGACAGTAGAGCTTGTAGAGATTTCCCCTAAACTAAAAATTGGAAATTGTGATTGGCTGTCAAACATAGCTGTGAGATCTTTAACAGTAAAAGACTAAGTGAAAGTACCAAGAGAACAAGAATGAAAAGTTCAGGCAATCTTTAGTTTTGAAGTTTTTCTTTCAGTCTATATATCTCACCAATTTTGACTGACACAAAACATGTGCTTTTTTAGTTTATGAATGATGGATATTTTTCTTGAAGATAGAAGATTTGCCAAGGGAACAGGAAATTATTAGATTGTTGCAGGTACTACTGTGCAGTAAATGATGTTTTGCCGATAGCGCATGCAACAATAATGGTAACGAATAATAATTACAATACTATTAACTGCAAATTGTTTTTAATAGTACTTAATCTGAATCATGGGTCAGAACCCCAATATGTTAGGCCAGTGGGAGCCAACATTTTTGGCAGGACTGCAACAAATTAGGTCCTCTCCTGCTAAGTGCTTTCTGCTCCCTGTTCTGTGTTCCTGCCAGATGTGCTCTGCTTTCTGCTTCATGCTCTATCTGTCACTCTGATGTCTGTCTCCTCCCCAATCTGCTGCATGTCGCACAAAGAGGCTGTTCATACCATTGTGGCACTTGCGCTACAAGTTGGCCACCTTTGTGCTAGGCACTATTCAAACACAGAACACAAAGATGATCTTTGTTCCAAAGAATTTAATTCTGACTGTGCCAATGAAGTGATACAAAATGATTCTCAGCCATGTTATTTAAGTAACATCAACAAGCAAAATGTATACTGTCTTGACACCAGTGTGTTGCTGTCACATCAAAGGTTATTTCAAGCATGTCTATGTTGCCTCATTACTATGGCAGTGAGCACTGCCATAAGGCAGGCTTCTTCCTGAAGTGGAAGTGCTTTACTTGTGTGCTACTTCCCAAAATGGAAATACAGGGCTTTTATACACATACCTTTTCATGCTGTGATGCACCGGAGATCTGACACATCCATATGTGAGCTGATGCGCACTGCGCTGCATCATGTGCAGTTGTATAAGTGGCAAAATGTGCATCG